TGGGCGACAGAGTGAGACTCCAACTCAAAAAAAAAAAAATAGAAGGCTGAGGCAACCAGGCGCGGTGGCTCATGCCTATAATGCCAACACTTTGGGAAACAGAGGCAAGGGGACTGCCTGAGCTTAGAGGTTCAAGATCAGCAACACGGTGAGACCTTGTTTCTACAATAAAATCCAAAAAATTAGCCAAGCGTAGTAGCACGAGCCTATAGTTCCAGTTATTTGGAAGGCTGAGGCGGAAGGATCGCCTGAGGCCAGCAGGTTGAGGCTGCAGTGGCCATGAGCGTGCCACTCCAGTCTAGGTGACATAATGAGACTTCAACTCAAAAAAAAAGAAGGCTGAGGCAGAAGGATCACCTGAGCCCAGCAGGTTGAAGCTGTGGTGTCCATGAGAATGACACTGTACCCAGCCTGGGTGACAGGGTGAGACTCCAACTCAAAAAAAATCAAAAACTTTAACTGGGTATGGTGGCGTATGCCTGCAGTTCCAGCTACTTGGGAAGCTGAGGAGGGAGAATTGCTTGAGCCCAGGAGTCGTAAGCTGTGATCATGCCACTACACTTCAGCCTGGACAACAGAGTGAGACCTCTGCTCAAAAGATAAATACATAAAAATAAACATTTTTTTTTTTAAAAACAAGAGTAGGCTGAGTTGCCAAACCATTCATGACTATTCTGTGACCCAGAAGTCCAGGCCCCAGCCCTCCTCCCTCAGACCCAGGAGCCCTCACCTCCCCGATCTTCTGCACGAGACTCTCAGTCGTGCACCCAGAATACGTGGTACTCTCGACAGCAGGCAGCAGATATGGCGGTGAATTGCAGATAAGGAGGCAGACTCGGTGTGTCTGGCCACTGCCAGGGATGAGACAAGATATGGAACAGGCACCCACAAGGACCCAAGAAGGGACCCAGACCCCGCACCTGCAAAGGTGCAAATGCTCTGCCCCACATGGAATCAAGAGTAATGGCCCCCACTTCACAATGGAAAACACTGAGGTTGAAAGGTCCCGTCACTCACTCTAAGTCACCCAGCAGGCAGGGGAGGCAGGAGGGAGACCCAGAGCTGGCACCCCTTCCCAGTGACGACACTGAGATCAGGCACTGGCCATTCCCCTTCCTAGGACACATCTCCAGCCTCTTGGCTCAGAGTGCCCATGGACACAGAGCCCACCAGTCCTACAGGGTGAGGTTCAAGAAGGATTCACTCGACAAGCAAAGTGGTGTCTTATGGGCAGGTGAAAGAGACTGACATGGGCCCAGGCAGAGGGGCACTCACATCTGCTCGCGCATCTTCTTGAAATCATCGAACAGCTGCAAGGCTGTGCTGAGGCCTTCTGCGATGAGACTGCAGCTCTCGCCACCCCCGCCCATGAACCTGCAGGGGGCCAGGCAGTCAGCCCCTAGGTGTCCCCATGGCACCCAGGGCTGCCATCATCCCAGTCCCTGATCACACTTGAAGAGTCAGCTCTGGTGCTATCCCCCACCTCACACTGGACCACGTGCCTTGGGATGACGGGGACACTGTTGTGTTCGCTACTCTTAACCCTGGTGCTGGCATGGCACCAGACCCACATAGGACAGGGACATCTGCTGCCTTTAATCACAAGCCCTGGGAGGGAACAGGGCTCAGGTCACCAAGTGTGGGATCCTGTGGTGTGATCCCTGTGTGACTGACTCCCTGTCCACCCTCCTGCTTCCCCTCCCCTCTCTGGGTGTCTGCTCCATCTTTAAAATCAGCCCGGGCCTCATCTCACTTTTCCAACCAGAAACAGGGACCTACTCTTTCCCCCCACAGTGTTATGGGTTGAAATGTGTCCCCTCAAAAAAGACAGACCGAGGTCATAACCCCCAGTACCTTACAACGTGACCTTACTTGGCAACAGCATCTTTACACGGGTAACCAAGTTAAATTGGGGGCCCTATGCCGGGCATGGTGGCTCAAGCCTGTACTTTGGGAGGCTGAGGTGAGTGGATTGCCTGAGCCCACGGGTTCGTGACCCGCCTGGGCAACTTGGTGAGACCTCATCTCTACAATAAATCAAAAATTAGCCAGGCATGGTAGCGCACGCCTATAGTTCCAGCTACTCGGAAGGCTGACACAGAAGGATCGCTGGAGCCCAGTAGGTCGAGGCTGCGGTGGCCGGGAGCGGCCACTGTACTCCAATCTGGGCGACAGAGTGAGACT